TCTCTGATTAAATACTAGTTTGTTTTTCTGTTGCGTTATATGTTTAATTTCTTGATTGTTTTCATGTCTGAGCATGAGGTCGAATCTCAACATTGTCACCCAAGGATGAAGTTTGACTGTGTGCCTACAACAAACGTTTTCATAATAAGCTTTAATCTATTCGTTAATACTTTCATCAATACCTTAAATACCACTGAGAGTAAGCTAATTGGGTGAAATTAGGTGATATTCTCTAAGGATGATATTTTCGGAATTAGCACAACTAGTGATTGATACACTCTCACTTAGATGGCCTCCCTCAAATGTATTCCACACAAAATCAACCAAACTTTATCCAACAACCGATCAATATGATTGAAAGAACATTGCATGAAACCCATCAACTCTAGGAGCTTTCAGTGGCTTCATCTCAAACAACACAGTTTTAACTTCGTTACCCTCTATCACTGTCATCAGGATATTTGATATGGGAGGAAAATATCCTCTAATTGGGTATAGCGGCATCCACTCTGATTTTTCTTTTAATATAGTTGCTCAAAGAATGCCGTTGCGTGCATGCTAAGCATAGTTTGATTGTAACACTAAACCCTAGCAATATCTTTAAGTCTTATAATTTTAAGCTTGCTTTTACGACTAGCTATTCTGACATGAAAATACTTTGTATTTTCGCTCAATTTTATCTAGTCAGTCTTTGCCTTCTATGCCTAAAAAACTTCTTCTTGTAGAAGTATATTGTCATATTCCACGCACTCTCAAAGAATGCTTGATTTCCCTTAACCAAAACGAAGATCAATTCTCTAGGGCATGCTCAGTACCTCGTAAGCGTGCCAAAATACATTTCTTCATGAGAAAGATATTCCCAAAGGCCTATCTATTCCAAGAAAAGGCATTCAAAGAGATGTCAGACAGTCTTGTCACAATATGCCTAGTGCACCGTCATTCCTACCTTGTCTACAACCCTTTCACTTATTTTGGGTTCTACAAGGATTAATATTGAAACCTTATACTGACACACATAATCTTTTATCACCCCAATAAAATCCTTGTCACCTGCACCTTGACAATTCCAGATCAAAATATTCAAATTCATAAAATATTTAATTAAAATAGAAATGAACTTATGAGGTATTAACCCTCTATAAACTTTCATCAACTACTAAAACATCACTTTGAGATGAACTGGTTATGTCCATCTATTGAGTAGTGGTTACGCTACTATCAATGTCATGATGAACTGAAGAAGCCATCGCTCGCATCTTAGCTTTTTCTTCAAAGAAATTTTTTTTAGTCGAACAAGGTCTCTTTTTTCAAGGGTTTTTCCTTATTCTTCCCAATGTGAATACCACCCATCTTTTCTGCTCTAGTTACAACATCTTTGATTTGCATTAAAGATGTTCTCTTAGGGCTGCTAGGTTGATGAGCATCAGCGAGAAGTAACTTTGCGAGGTTATCAGGATCCAAAATCTGATCCCACGCCATATGCCTATTTGCTCCAATACTCTCCTGTTGCAACGGACCCTTCTCTTCCTACGGCTTTACACCACCTTGTTGTACATTCCCTAGTGGGTCAGTTCCCACACCCCCTTTATGGATGTCACTTGTAGTGGTCAAGCTGATGGTATTTTCAACCTCCATTATGTTAGTTCCATTGCTTGACCCTGCCACCACGTCCAATGAATTATTTGCCATTTTAACTAGTTTCTTGTTTAATAAAGAGACCACATTACTACTCAATGCCTTATTTTTGACTATGTTGGTATTTGAATTTTCCTCACTAACCACCTGTTTAGCAACATCCACATGTGTTTCTGGTCCTGTATTACCCTTATTAGTATTAAAATTAAGAAAATTGTAAAAAATAACTTTCCTCATAAGCCTAACTCAAAAATATCTTTTTTTATAATTTTAACTAATTTTAATCAATTTTTGACATGACTTAACAATAATACCCTTTAAACAATTTTAGACAATTAAAATGGTTTCAATTTTCTCTATCCCACCATTCAGATAAAAATTTCAAAATTAAATCTCGATTTCTCTGTCTGGTCAAATACTGTCCATCTCACTATCCAAAGAGCAAAGATGACATCAAACTCTTTCTTATTTTTTTTTATGGTGGATCTTGGGGTTTTCAAAGGTGATAAACAGCAATTTTGCTCTTCTATGATGATTGCAGATAGTATGATGAATGTGGTAACTAGATGCTTTCTGGTGATGTTTTCAAGTGCTTAGGGAGAAGGGGTAGCTAAAGCATGTTTGATGGGTTTTGTGGTAGTTCACAATTTTGTTGTATCTAGGATTGGGATGGTTGTTAAGCATGTTTGTTGGAGATTTTGAGTTGAAATTATTCAAGAAATATTTTGTAAAGGGAGTATATTTTGTTTTTGCATAAGAGAAGTGAGCAAAACCTCTCGATAGAGATATGTTTTGTCTTGCTTTGGAGGATTATGGAGTTTTGTAACCTATTTTTTATGAAATGCACAATTTCATGGTTTAGCAAAAAAAAAAAGTGTTTTAGGTTCTTGAGTTTATTAGTTTATTCATAAAATCGTAGAACCCCAAAGTTGAAGATTTGAAATTAATTAGACTGAATTTTAAGTATTACGAGACTGATTTTTAAGCTTTGCGTGGTTTAATTACTGTATGACTAGTTTTTAGGTATTACGTGATTAGTTATAAGCATTGCGTGATTTATTTTTAATCAATGCCTAAATCACACAATGCCTTACTAACTAGTCATGCAATGGCTTACTAACAAGTCATGCAATGCCTACCAACTAGTCATGCAATACCTAAAAATAAGTCACGCAATGCCCAAAGTCAGTTACGCAATGTACAAAATAAGTCACGTAATGCTTAAAAGTTAGTCATGCAATGCCCAAAAATCATCAAAATTACTAAATTTTATTTAACAAGATCAATAACTTCAAATAATACACCATATTTCATTTTACAACATAATTAACAAATATGCCTACTTGACAAAAAATGCTCCAAATGTTCAAAAGTTTTTGTTTATATATCAAAAATCATTCCAAAATGTTTAAAAATGCTTAAAACGCTCAAAAGTTTTCTTCATATATAAAAAACTATTCCAAAATGCTTAAAATGCTTTAACGTTTTTCTTTCTGGTAAAAAATACTCCAGAGATGAATAGTCTGACGAGGAAAGCACAAAGAATATGAGTTGGTTTGAAGTGCAGATCTAAACATACTTAACCTGTTAATAGATTTCGGGTTGAGGCGCAGAGCCAAATAAATGGCTCGATTTTATTAAGGATAATTTTGTTCAAATTTTAATTCTCTTAACTAAAAACAGTTAAAATTATAAAAAAGTCTATTGTCAAAAACGCCTTATACATGGGGTCTATTTAAAAAAAAAACTTTATTAAATTTAGTAAGTATAACACCAGGGTTAGTGTCTCAAATCACAAACTGAGACCTTCGAGTAATTTTATTCGCCATTTTAAATCCATATGTAGGTCTCTTCCTTTATGTGGCCGTAGGTTTCCTTCGAGTGACAAGCATCTAAGGCCATACATCGCTCCATCTTAGGAAGGGTCCTCTTGTCCATGATCCTCTTGTTCTCTGTCTCTCTGATTTACACCGGTATCACCACAATCCTCCTGCACATGACCATATATACCACAGGTGAAACATACTTTGGGGAGTCTTTCACCCTCCACCAACTGAAGTTGACCATTAATGTAAAAGCAAGGAATCAATGGTTTCGTTAAATCCAATTGCATAGCAATCAAGGCAAACTTGCCCCGCTTCTCCTGATCAATATTGTAGTCAAATCTTTAGTAGACGGCCCAACTTATACCTAATTTGCCGCAACACAGACTTGTGATACAAGTGTAACGACATTCTCGGGAAACACATACATGTTGCCACTGTTGATAGGTCCTTGACACGCTTTACGTAATTCGATGACCATGGACGCACCAGCAAATACTGTCCTTGTATCATCCATGGGCCATCAAGCAAAGCGTGAAGGTAGTCACTTTCCTCTATAAAATAGCACTAGATGAACTTCATCATCCAAGTCCACAATCAGGTAACAGCCTTTGGGAGCCCATAATGACATAATCCTGTTGCATAGCAATCGATAAGAGACCGGACGACCAAGCATCTGGACAATCATTGAACACAGCCACCATTTGACCAGTTCTTCATGTTTCCTGTTAGAGATTATAAGAGAAAAAGTGCTATTCTTAGGCTCAGTCCATGAGAATTCCATTTCCTCCTCCATTTCATTGTCATCCGACGCATCATCTTTGTATTCCATCTCTTTTTCTTAAAATAAGTTCCCATCCGAGATTAAACCCTCACGCTCTAAAAGGGTTAACGGTTCTTTGAATGCGGGATTATCATGTATCGTTACTACAGGGCTGCTATTCAAATTGCTGACTTTCTCCTTTTTTCTGTTTCTATTGTCTAGCAAGGCCGGATTACGGTTTTACCTCAAGCAGTCATCAGGCACTGCCATTTTTTCACTTTCAATGATGCTATTTTTCAATTTTATTAAATAGCAAATTAAAATCTTTATGTTGAAATTTTTTTTAAATTCTCGTAATACATGGTAGAATCTAGAAATATTTTTTCATTTAAGGAATTTCTTGAGAAATTTATCTATACAATTCCCTCAAGAAAACCTGATCATCGAATATTTTAATTTATTTACAAGAATCAATACCTCAAATGAATGATGATGGTGCAAAAGAATGATTATTTTATTTTCTGATTCTTTTTCTTTATCATTTTTTATTTTAAGATATATGTATTTACTTATTATTTATTTGTTCTTAGATTATTTTTTTAAATATAACTTTTAATTTTCAAAATATTCATTTATTATTGTTGTTGATTTATTTATTATTCCTATTTTTCTTCTTTTTTTATCCTATATTTTTTATCATTTATATTTCTTTTAGTAAAACATATTTACTTATTTTCTTTTCATCCTATATTTTTTTCATCGTTATTATTTTTCTTTTTTTAAAAACATATTTCAGATTGTTCTGTAAATGTTAAAACCACCCATTTCCATGAAAGAAAAATCAGCCGACAGATGAAAGTAACATTAACCACAACAACAGATTTCAGAAAACACTAACGCGACTAAGACTTGTTCAGTATTAGGCTAACTGTTTCCGAGACATGTTTTTTGCACATGTACTACACTTCTTAAACATATATATGATGAATTGTCAGACATAATGCATGTTTGAATTACTCATATCATACAGTTCATATTGATAGGCTAGGATATTCATGAAAAGATACAAGCTGAAACATAAGAGAAGAAATAACAGCAAATCCAAAACAAAAAAAAGGTGAAATTCATCTTCTGAAAATTGTAAGTATCAGTAAAATGGAATGAGAGAGTGGAGAAGAACCTGTGACTGTAACCAAATGATAAATGAGTGAACAAACTATCCGAGCGAGGAGCATTTTGAAAGATCAAAAATATCATATCATGGCATCATAATTCAGCTTCAAAGTTGAAACAAAATGTTAAATCCTCCAAACACCTAGAGATTTTACTCCTAGAAAAACCGCTAGTGCAAGTGTACCATACTGATGATGTGTCAGCCATGATGCCATGTGAACAAGTGCATGCCAATCTCAAAAACTTGACAATCTGTGCACCACCAGAGTTAGTGAACTAACTAGTTATGTAGGACAAAGTTAATATGCGTGCTTCTGCGGTTGAGCACCAGGCTGATACTGCAAATCATTCTTCCTACTAAACTCTGTCTTTGTTCCAGTTGATTGTTTAGAAACTTTCTCCTTCTCCTTGTCAACAGCAATCTGTTTAGAGCGGCATTCAGGAGTGCAAAATGCACAAAAGTCACTGCATTATATAACCAAGTTCAGTTCATTAATTATCTGAAAAGCTAAGGTGTGAGTAAAATGCCAATAATATGCTTAACTGAACTCCAACTAGAAGACCTGAATCAGACACGGAGAGAGGAGACTCAGAAACTTTAACCATCAAAGTATGAAATGAGAAGCAACCAGAGACAAATAATAAAGAGGTAAAAAATTGAAGAATATATATAATCCCACATTTGGTTACACGCTTATACTTGTACTGCGTGGATGATAAAGAACGGGGAAAATGCAGATGAAAAACTAAGAGTAGCTCGTACGGCCATTTCTTTTCCCAATATGCACTTTATAATAGGCAATTAGAGGTCCAACAAACACATGCATAAGTAGGAAAGAATAAAAGCATAGTGGAAACATGCAATGCAGTACATTACAAAAAGTCTACTATTATAGATGAGCACTTAGCATGTACAATGCAGATGTATACTGTTAAGTCTAATTGACAATTTCAACATTTTCAGAGACAAAAAAGGAGAAAGGAACAAAGAAACTTAAAACTCCCAGGCATTTCTTTAATGGAGGCTTCATTATAATTAACTTGGCTTAAGCTGCTTCAGCTTCAGAAAAATACAAAGGTGAAAGAAACGAAGAAAAGAAGTGAAATAAAGACTCAATTTCCTCTTATTTACTAGTGTCTAGTAAGACTAGTATTACTTTCCAGTTCTTTCTCAGCAGCTAAAGGGAAAATCAATAATAGACAACAATCAAGAAACTAAAAGATTTATATTGCTGAAAAAATCGTCAGGGATAAAAATAAAAGCATAAAACAGGAATATACCCGTACATAAATCTTTCATCAATCTGACGCAGCCCCTTATTGCAAAAGAAGCATTTATCCAAGAAATGACTCTCTTGCTCTCCCTGCTGCTGCCCGATTTCCACAGTCGCATCCGGCGCCGACACGATCAAAACCCCTACCCTCGTTATCTCCCAAACCTTCGGCGAAGGCGCATAGGCAGAGATTATGGAAGAAGTGGCGCGTGCGTCCCACCGAAAAGCAGAAGCAGAAGCAGCAGCTGGTGGAGGGTTGAGGACACGGATGTTGCCACTGGAGGAGCAGTCGGGGCGAGAGCGCTTCATGTTGGTTCCAAAAGTGAAACTTTAGGGTTTAAAAGTTTTTTCTAGTAAGTGAAGGGAAATTCGGATAACAGAGGCGAAATTTTAGGGTGGCGACGGGGCGGCAACAACGTAACAGGCTGAGTGTGTTTCGCCCGTCTGGAGGGGTTGAATTCGTGGCTGGTTTATATAGGGTACTGTGGCCGCCATTGAACGGCCCAACCAGATTTTTTTCTTATTTTATTTTCTTTTCTTTTTAAAATTATTTTATAGGGGCGAATTCAATCTTCTGCGGTCCGGTGCGTGGTGAAATAGTTGGTCTACCACTGCCACTCTACCAGGCAGTTTTGAACTTGTTAGAAGAACCAAGATACGAGTTCCACACTAGTCTCATATTTATTAAAATCAAATTGGATTATTTTGTAATTTATTAGAAAGAAAAGAAAAAATGTGTTCTACTCAGTATTCTAACAAAGTTTATACTATAATTAATAAGTAGACATGAGGACTTTTTTAAAAAAAAAAATGGTAGACATGAGGTCGTATAGCTTATCTGACCAACCACGTTACAATCTTACAGACATCAATTCTGTTAACAAAATTTAAGTTTTCACATGGCCTTACACCTCAGTCACAGCCGCCATTCTCCCCTTTACTGTCATCCCGGTTCCTTATATTTACATACATCTGCTGAAGCCAGCAGCCAAGAATAGATATTGGTAACTTCGGCAGTACCAATTTCATTCTCTCTAGGATTTTAGAGAATCTACTCTCACCATTACAGCTCTAAATTACATGTAGCAGTCAAAACGAATCTCCTTAATATAAACCAACCCACTTCTTGAACGTCAATGCTGCTTCCCTCTTCTTTAGTTGGGCTTCTGTCTGGAATTTAGGAGCCTTGCCCTTGTAAAGTGTTTTATGGTACTTCAAGAAGAGGGTCCGATACTTGTACTTGTCAATGAACATGTTCCCTTTCTCCATCATGTCCACCACTTCATTAGCTCTGACAAAAAATCCACCCCTTACAAATGTATAGAGCAAAGAATCCAGAAGTTCCTGATCAAACTTCATTGAGGTTGAAGACGCAAGTGATTTCATTTCGCCCCAAAGCTCTGTTACCTCGATATATTTTCCTCCAATTGCAGCATATCCAGTGACCATAGAGTGGAAAGTTTGAGCATTTGGGACATGCCCCAGACTCCTCATTTTCATCAGAGCTTTTTCAGCATCTTGCATTAACCTCTTCTTACAGAAAAAATGGATTACATTATTCCAGTCGTGTACTCCACTATCCAGTTTCTGTCCTTCCCTGATTTCTTGCACGAGCTTTGCCATTAACCCTGCTTCACCATTGCCTGTACACCCTTGAACCAACCTCTCAAATTCTTGATTACCACCTCTCGGTATCTTAGCCTCCTTCATCTCTTTGAATAGATGGAGTGCTCCTTGGGTATCCTGCTGGAGCACCCGCAATTGTATCATTGTGTCATAACAACTAGAATCTAGTTGGATCCCAGCCTTCTGAGCATCTCGTAAAAGTGATGTGACTTCTCCTAGGCGATTTGCTTTACAGTATGCTTTCAAGAGCAAGGCATATATGGAAGAACCAGTTCTAACCCCAGCAAAGCGCATCTCATCAAGAAGGTCATGTGCTTGATCTAACCACCCAAGTGAAATGCATGAGTTGATAACATGAACCAAGGCTGAATCGTCATTGGAAACTGGGGAATCTTCTTTCTCTGCCTTGATAAGAAACTGAGCCAAATCCTTAATCTTCCCAGCTTCAAGGAAAGCCTTAACCAATTTCACATAAATTTTTTCTGTTGGTTGGAGAATTCCATGTTCAGTTGTAATCAATTCAACTTGTGTCTGCAGCTTAGCTAGTAAACTGAGAAGTACTTCCTTAGCCTCATTCCCAAGTTCGGCAAAAGTTCTATCTCTAGAGAACTCATTGTAAGATATAATCTTATTCTCAATAAAGCTTATGTTGTGCGAGCCATTTGGTTCTTGTTGGCTCTGATTTGGCCCAGAAATCTGCCTAAAGGGAGGTCTGTTATCATTTCCAGCAGCTTCAAGCACAAGGGTAGCAGCAGCAAGAGAGTTTTTTGCTTCCTTTGCTTTCCGTAGCATTTCCAGAACCATATCGGAGGCAGAATCAAGATCACCAAATTTTAAATGGCAAGTAAGCAAACAATTATAAAACTGCCGAAACTGAATATCAGTTAAGTTACAAGCTTCATCTATGTGCCTCTTAAGTTTCCTCAGCTCTTCTCTTCGCCCATTTCTCTCATATATATGTGCCATTACAATCAATAAGTTTGCATCAGCTTTTATGCCAATTCGAGGCATCATGTCAAGGAGCTGCTCAGCTTTCCTTGTTGTCCCAAACAAGATGCACCCAGCCAAAGCGATGCTGAATGCAGTAGCATTAGGCTTCATAGCAATCAAAGGTGCATTGCTCTTCTTACGGGGGTCCACCCTCCCGTCCTGGAATAAGTAACCTATCTCAAGAATCAATTCAGAAGCTAGGTAAGCCCCAGGAGCTGTTTGTGACATGTGGGCCAAGATGGATGACCAGGCAGTTGCAGGTGGAAATTGTTCTGTTTCTACCAATTTTCTAAGAATGGTTGATACAGGAACTGACAAACCACATTTGGCAAGAGCAAGAGAAAGATAAAGCAGAGGCTCCTTTTCCAGCAAGTTCTGTTTACTCTCCTCAAAGGCTTGTTCGACCATTCCATAAGCCTTCTCAAGCCATTGAATATCAAGGCTTTCTGCAAAACCTGTCAGAAGCCTGTTCACAACAGATTTTCGAGGAAACCCTTCCATCTGCATGTGCTGTTCATACAGCTTCCATGTGTCAATATATCTACGCTCATCAATTGCATTTTGCATTTCCATATTTAATTTAGCTGGGTCGCGAGCCTGGACCAGGATTGGAGCAGCCATTGTCGAAAATAGCGTCAACCTATTCCGAAGACTTGAAGATGCAATTTGTGTCTTTATGTTGGTCGAAAAGGAGTCAGAGATCCCACAAATCGGCCTGTGACTCCAGTAAACAGGAAACTGGCATCTGCAAATCCTTACAGCAGTATAAAGCCTATGAGGAAGTAAGGCAAATAAGAAAGTAGGGGAGACAGCCATGATTGGACGCCTCATTTTCGTAATGGAAGGGAAGTTACGAAAATGCTAACATGGATCACAACCTGCAACATTGACAGCTTTTCTAAGAAATCTAATCCACTGAAAAAACTGCAACTTACATAAGAGAGTTCAAATGCACACAAAGCTAACTTTAAAGTACAAGAAATAATGGAAAATCATCTTCTTCTTAACCGATTCTATCAAAACAAAAGAAGATACTAACAGTTTTAACTTTCCAGCAAGGAGAGGCTAGCAAGCAGCAGTCCAGTCTCGGCGAGACATTTTATCAAATAAAGCAAGGACATAATAAAATTTGATTATACGTTTATCTACGAGGAAAATGAATAAACTCCTTTTTTTTTTCTTAAGGGTAAAAATTAAAACTTACAGTCTAACGGTCAAGTTGCCAAGGATCATCAAAATTGGCATGGAGAAATGCAGGTGAAGAGAACAAGCACTGAAGGAGAAGTTTCACTTCCGCGAGAGAGGGAAAAGGAAAACGAGAGGGAGAAAAATCAGTTAAGATGGGCCGGGCTCGGGTGGGCTTGTGAGAGGCCTAGAGAATTAAACATGGGCCTTTTGTGGGCCTAGTTCCAAATGCCACGTGGCGGGGCCAAGAGTTTGGTATTCCATGTGCTTTTGTCACACCTGATTAATAGCCCTAATTTAAAAAACAGCCACCACAGCCTCTTTCCGACCGCCATCATTTCTTCGCGTTGTAATTTCAAAAGCGGAGAGGCTGCACGGTGTGAAATCGCTCATTACTGAAAGCTAAAACCAGATTAACAGAAATAAGTTCTCTACGGATCTTCTTACAGGATTTTGAACCCTGATCAACATGGTGAGTATCATCTCTTTTCTTTTCCTTTATTTCCTTTTTTAAAGAACTTATTATTTTTTTAATTATTGATCTCCATTTTTAAGGAAAAGAATATCAAATTTTCTGGCCTTATATTTTCGCTGGAAATCGCTTGGTTCGTGAAATGTTAGGATCTTTGGCCGGTTGCCTGGTTGCTTTCTCAATATCTGTTCTCCAGAACTGACTTTTTCTTTTCTTTTTTTTCTTTTTTACATATTGTTCAAAGCCTTTTTCTTTTTTTTTTTTAAGATTAAAATTGGAGATTCTGTAAAATAATTGACGATTCTGTTTGCTGCAGCTTTATTTTTTCTTTAATTTTAAACTCTTGTTTTTTCCCCTTGATAGGATTCGACGTCGGAGCGGAGCACTGTCTTGGCGCTTACGGATGATGCAGGTTACGCCCTTAATGCGCTAAATGCAATTAGGGATTTTGAGAACGAAGACGTCAAGCGCCCCGACCCTCTTATTATTATGCAAGCTTCTTCTTTAGGTATTGTTGCACTACTTTTAATTTTGTAGTTTTCAATTTAAAATATATATCTTTGAAGAATTAAGTTCAATTTTTTATTTTAATCGATAGCAAAAATGTATGGTTTCACTATGAGGCAAAAAATAAGTCGCAATTGAATAGTTTCAATATCCCCATACCGTGTTGTTTTCCCTATGATTCTGTTGTTGTTTTATTAGATTTTTCGTATATGATAACTTCAGAACTTATGTTTGGGTATATGTTTTGTTCACGGGGGTTATCTCAGATAAGCTGCCACTAGAATCATCCTCTGTAGACAAGGTCATTTCCTTGTCTACCTCAGTTGAATTTCCTGTGGAAGAGTTGTTTCCTGAAATCTTTAGAGTTTTGACGCCTGGTGGGATGTTGGTGGTTTACCGCAGTTTTCAGCCTGGGACAAATGAAGTAGATAAGGTAAAGATCTTGTGGTTTCTGATTTTGATGGGATGAATTTGTCGTAAGACAACTTACTAGAGTTTCTTGCAGGTAATGTCTGCTATTGAGTGCAAGTTACTATTGGCAGGATTTTTAGAAGGAGAACGTTTTCAACTAAAACCAATTGCACAATCTTTTGGGGTGAGTTCTTCCTTGCTGTCGTTGACAATATGTTGTTTAGCTTTGTAACTTCATTTTTGTTTTATCGGATGATATCTTAAGATACTAGAACAAAGAAACAACTTCTCTTTTAAGTGGGTGCAAATTTTATTTATCCATGTTGGTTAAAACCTTCTGCTTTGAAGTTGAGAAGTTAGTTTATTGATGGAATTATGAATTCTAAATCAGTCATTCTATCATTTGGTATGTTATTTAATCTTTTTCCCCTTTGTGATGCCTGTGACGGAGGAATGCTGTGTTAGGTTGTACTAGTTTACTATTGAAATGAGGCATGTTATCTTAATTCTGTCATTCTTTTCAATCCGAGGCTTATATATTCTTTTTGTAGGACTTGTGTAATAAGCTAACTATTGAATGTTACCACTTTTAGGTTAAGGCTAAGAAGCCATCTTGGAAGATTGGGGCTTCTTTTTCTATTAAAAAGACTGTGAAAAGTCCATTGAAAATTCAGGTGGATGATGATTCAGATCTCATTGATGAAGATTCCCTCTTAACTGAAGAGGATTTTAAGAAACCCCAATTGCCACCCGGTAAGATGGCAAGACCTGACAAGACCCAGAGTTATTGGTTTGGTTTTCCATCCTTTATGTGGAAAGTTCTAGGGATATTTTTATGTAACACAATTCAAAAATATCGTTTTTTCAGTTGGTGACTGTGAAGTAGGAAGCACAAGGAAAGCCTGCAAGAACTGTACTTGTGGAAGGGCCGAACAAGAGGAGAAAGTGCAGAAGCTCGAACTGACTATGGATCAGTTGAATAACCCTCAATCAGCTTGTGGCAATGTATATCTTGTTTGATCTCCTATCTCTTTTTTGGTTTGGTTGATTTATACTGATTTTATTATTATGGTCCAGTCAAGGACTGATTTCTTTTGGTTTTATTCTTTTTAATACTTTTGCTTTTTCTTGTGCTTTGAAACTGTGGGCACTGTGGATTAATACTTTTGCTTTACCTTACTCTTTGAATCTGTGCACAGTGTGGATTAGGTGATGCATTTCGCTGCAGTACATGCCCATATAAGGGTCTTCCTCCATTCAAGCTGGGCGAGAAGGTATGTTTCCGTGTGTTATTCTTGCTTGAGGCATGCATTCTTGCATGCACACTAAGAATTTTAATGAGATGTTTGACACACCATATGCTTCTGTGTACCAACGCATTTTTAGCAATGTAGCTGAAGAACTAGAATGATTTTTATGTCCAGGTATCTCTATCAGGAAACTTTCTTACGGCGGACATTTGAACTTGAAGGATGGTTTTTGGTGAAAAGTTCAATTTTTAGATACATTCGAACTGCCTTACTGAGTTCTTTGATTGCAGTTTATTCGTTGTTCACAAAGCTGTAGTTCATTCATTGTTTACGAATATTGTGCCTGATTCTGGATGAGTGTGAAAGAACCATAGTCTATCCTGTTGAATGCAGCGTGAAAGAGTATGAAAGACCCATACTTGGGAACAGCCTCACGGAGTTCTTTATTGTAGTTCATGCATTGTTTGCGCAGCTGTAGTTCATCCATTGTTTACGAATATAGTGCCGGATTCTGGAAGAGTGTGAAAGAACCATAGTCTATCCTGTCCAGTGCAGTGTGGATGAGTATGAAAGACTCGTACTTTTCCTGTTCAAAGCGAATGCGAGACTGCGTCTGATGTTTCTTAGGTAGTAGCAATAGCTATAATATAATGCAGTCTTACCGGTGATCCAGTGTAAAAGCTCTATTAACGGCTTTGTGGCCGTCTGTTAACAGAGCACTGAACCCGGAGTCTGTTTGACAAAAATCACCTAGTGTGGGAGTGGGTGCTGAATGGACACATGTACAGCTAATGCAAAAAATGGCTTTTTGCAAATTCTGGAAAGGTGGCCAAACTGAAATAGTGTTTGGAGGTACATATCTAACTTTTTGGGTGTCGAATGCTTGATAAACTTTTGCGTTGGACATTAACTTCTTATTGTTATAAGAAAGGCAGATGTCGAGCGCTTCAGCTGAGGATAACATAGATAGCTTCGCAGGTTTTATTTAATCTCAGTACTTACAGACGTGTTCAAAAACATAAGTGGGTCACGCATATTAATATATTTCACAACAGTCATAACTACAAAACTGTAAAAACCACCAAGTAGCTCAGGGCTCCTCTAATCAAAATCCGAAATCTGAAACCTCCTTATAAATCCGCCCTTGTATATCTACGATCCCCTGCTTCCCCCCATTCATAAGCTTGCCCTCTTCGTTGCCTTGGTCCAGGGAAAAAGAACTCCTCTTTGGTTGTCAAGGATGTTATCCACCTCATCTTCCTTTTGTCTAAAGGCTAACTCCTTGGGTTCCTTCTCGAATTGCATCACAATACCTTCCCGTAGGGACAAAAGAAACAGAACGAGATAAATAAACTCTCTAGACACAAGGGATACTCAAAAACTGAAGGATTATGAGTATGTTTACCTGCGAGAGGGTACCGGACGTTGTCTTGCAAAACCTGCGAGAGGGTACCGGACGTTGTCTTGCAAATTAATCTGAAAACATAGAATCTCCAGGTTGTTTTTTCTAGAAGCAACTGTGACGAAGGGATACCCTGCGGGAACAAGGAACACAGTATAGGTCTTCAAAAGTGAGCTAATTTTCCGGTAACTGGGGCCGCTCTTTCTTCGTTCCGAGCTTGTGAAATCCCGGTGTTGTTGATCACTTGATTAGAGGAGACATGAGGACACACCATTTCAAAGTATCCTTCACCTTTTACAGCAATGGCTATCTTCGTTGCCCTTGAGTTGTAGTATAGAGCAGACATACAGCCCTGGAACATAAGCAGACATTATTATCTCCATATATTTATGATATTGTCCTAAAGCAAGATTCATTTCCTATCTGCATGCATGCACAAAATAGGGAGGGGGGAAATTACTTTGGTGATGTTCGCATAGGAGACCCTGAGGTCGAGGCCTGCGAGCGGCCTGAATGCATTTGCATCAACTTCAAAGAGCTGGCCATATTTGTTAGACAGAGAGGGTTGGCGCCTTCTGAAGAGGTTGAAGGCACCCCTTAATTCACCGCCAAAAGGCCAGAAAGCACCGCCACTGCCACCTTCCTGGTGGCTACTCATGGCCCGGATTTGTTCTTTGGAGGCTTCGAGGAAGGGTCCTTTGTCCTGTTTCCCGAAAAAGCTCTCCAACTTGTCTCTTGACGTCTGGATGGTTCAAGAAAAACTTTACAATATACTTGGATCCATATATATAGTCAGAAAGAGTGTGGATTAGGACTTACCCTTAAGGCAGCTTCAAGAATCTCAATGCTGAAAGTTTTGTAGAATGATTCTGGTTTTTCACCAACAGCCCCGAAAAATACCTGCATCAAAAAACCTAGATCAGGAAAATAAAGCTCTATATTCTATATAAAACATTGTGATTGTGGAGAAAGAGGATTTACGTCGTAATGGCCTGGAAGATTAACGGTTCGGAAAAACTCGACCACGTAGAGTTTCTCATTTTCATCTCTGTTGATCAAATATATAGGAGTGCCTGCACGAACCCTGAGGATATCTCCACGTTCAATGTTGAAACTCTCTCTGTTATCTTCATGGATCAATGTGATTGTTCCACGGCCTATGATACATGATTATGGTAAAAAACGCAATACTCAATTAAAATTAGTACCCAAGTAAAAATATCATAACATGAACACAAATTAAAATTCTCAGATGACAATAGTTGAAAGAAAGAATAACCTTGAGTAACAACGAAGACAGCGTCAGCATCAAAATGATTTGGGACCACAAATGAGTTTGGATTAGCAACAAGAAGGGCTAGTCTGTAATTCTCAATGTCACGAAGCAACTCAGACTTCTTTGTGAACTTCGTGAGAAGATCAACTCTTTCTTGCTCTGTCTTGACTTCTGCACAGAAATGTTCATCTTCAAATACATACGGGTGTGCTCTTTTGCTCTTCCTCTTTCTCCATTTTGTCTCTCTCCCCGTCTCTTCTGCTTCTCCCATTTCTCTGGCATTGTAGGAGACACAGCTGCCTCTCTCTCCTCCTAGTCTCTCGCACTGCTCTGGCACTCTCTCAGACTCTGAAAAGGATTTACCACGCTCCAATATTCATCACGCTCATGGCCACCTCCTTCTTCACTCTCCCGCCTTCTTCTCTCTGTGATAATCTTCACATTTTCTCTCACATTCTTCCTTCTCTTCCTCGCTGTATTGTTGCTGGACCCTGCACTGGTGCCTGCATTGTTTTAGCTACTTCTTCTCTCTGTGATAATCTTCACATTTTCTCTCTCATTCTCCCTTCTGTTCCTCGCTGTATTGTTGCTGGATCCTGCACTGGTGCCTGCATTGTTTTAGCTCAGGGTCTTGCTTAGCTACGCCTAAGCCAGCATACAGAAAAACAGACAGGGATCAAAACAAGAGTTAAAGAAAGCTTTGCTTTGGCAGCCATTTTTTAAAATCCCACTTGATGCAGAGAGAAAATGAACATTGGATTATATATATATCGCGCGATGCGCACGGAGGAGGAAGATAGGGGCAAATAAACCGTAAGAGCATGCATGAAGACGGGTGTCCATGTAACGTGTCAAGGCTAGTTAATGCTGAATGCCGAGTAATGTTGGGTGGGACAAGAAGAAATATTAGTCTGATGGCCCTGGTTCCTTGCTGGCATCCTATTGTCTTCAGAATGGAGCCTTCGCGTGGCCGTACGGTCATGGCAAATACTAAGGCAGCATCTAACTTTAAAGTTTTCGTTTAATGGATTATTCAGCTGCGTTTTTGCGGCATTGTTGTCCATGTCCATTTGGAATTGCTATCAATATGCGAAGATCAGATTCGGATGTTTTCTGAAAGGCGGAAGCCAGATCGAGTTAAGGCGCAGCATAGACAGGTCCCTGGACCTTAGCAACTTGAAACACTCTGGGGCCCTTAAGTGTATCTGGTGTGGAACTGATTTAAGTATTATTACTGTAAGGCGTAAATCGAATCCAGCAATTAGAAACTCTAAGCTCGAATTCAGCTCCATCGAGTTTTACATTTTTGTGTTCAAGCCAAGAAATAATTGAACTATAATTTGATGTGATTCAATTAAACTTGATTATTGTTAACATATGTAAATAGCTCAAAACTTAAACTCAAACTCAAGTTCAAAATTAAAACCCCAAATTACTCAAACTATCTCTGCTTGGATAATGAACAAATCGAATTTGAGTATTTTAAAAAACAAAAGCCAAGTAACTTGACTCCTTTACGTCTCAAATCATTAAGAACCCTTAATGTTATTTTAAAAAAGCAAAAAAGAACTCTTAATCCGGATCGAAGATCACATACTGAGTTAGGTGGAACCAATAGAAGATCCCTTTTGGATAAACAGAAAAGCGGGTGATTTCAATCTAATTCCTCGAGATCACCACTTCTGATACAGCGATACAAATTCATTTTCATCTGTGAGACTGTCTTAACAGATGCGGTATAGACGCACAAGAAATTGGTGAATGGTAATCCAACAGAAACGTGCTAAACCTTGGACGTTTAAATACAATCCAGAAGATTTACTTGCAACATATGCCAACCAGATTAAAGCTAGATGCAGACTCGTAAGAACATTATTCATGCTAGGCAAATGCCCCAGATCCATGTACCATATTTCCATAGCCTCTCAGCACAATATGTTTGAAGCCTCCCATGAGATTGAAAGAGGTTCTTTAAAGGTCGGGCATACCCTTCCCGGTTTTAGAATCATATGTCTTCTCCAATACAAGATCCATTGGAGTATCCTTTGGACCAGCTGCGAAGCATAACAGCAGAAATGAGTTGCATGTAATATGTGGACACCATATATTTTGGCTAACTAATTTACATTACTGTTCTATACAAGTTTCTTATCCATAACCCACAGATTAAACAACAATCAATAAGACAATATTGGAACTACAAACTACATCTAACATTCACATACTTATGAACAACAGCCCCTTACTATTTGCAAAAGAACTGACAAGCAATAATTATTATGGTTAGATAAGAAAACTACAAAAGAAAGCAGTATAGTTTCAGAAATCCAATTGTATATATGTACATAATACCCAAAAGCATGTAATATTCTTCATTTGCCCCCTATAATTTAGACCCCATAACAAACAACACAATGCTAACCCATTCTGTGTTTGATCTATGTTACCTCATTCTTTAGCAACACAATGCTATATGCTCTTCAATATTCCTTAAAAGGAGGGGATGAAACTCAAATCTCAAAAAACTAAGTGATTTATTCAAATTTTACAATATTGGTAAGTAGCTCCGTGGCAGAAACTGATAACCATAACCTACAATAAGTATTCAGATTGACGCACCACTCTGCCCTTATGTAGTCTTCTAATTACTAAAAGGGACGTGACTACGGAGTATGCATGTATGGGTATCTTTTACAAACTTATTGCCTTCATAGGATCAGGTGTATGTCAAGTGTCTAGTCTTTGCAATTCCCAATTTATTGTCATTCCTAGAATTGTATTGGAGAGAGGCCCAGTGCTGCAATTGTTAGATTATCCAATATAGTATAGATGGCAAAAAGCTCTGTTCTACTTCCCTTAAGGACTACTTTATAGCTTATAGTTAACTGCAGTTGAGTCCACTGAACTGAAAATCAACATATTAATTGAGGGTTCAACCATACTTCCTATCCACAAAAATCATCACAGACAACATTGCCTTCCCAATGAATCCACAACTCAATACATTTACAATTTCTAGTCACCAAATTTTTTGATAGGGCAATTATCTCAACTATTTTATAGGCAATGCGCAATCAGCTATAAAAGATTAATTTTTTATAATGGAAATGCAAAGACACTTTTCTTAATAAAAAGAGCTCTTCCTAATGCAAATTCCAAAACTAAGGTGAAAATGAAAGCCATATATGCTGCATACTGCTGCAGAAAGGGGGTAAAAAGGACAACATTCAACTTAAAGTGGGGAAAAGCAATAAGCATAGTTAAGTACCAACTGTAGGTCTTGGTGTTGTCCTTATCTTCAAGATCTCAGGGCGAGGAATTATAGAACCAGATGCTCCTATACCTCTAGATACTCTCACCTTAGTTCCATCTTCTAGATATCTAACTCCGACCTTACAAGGCGTCCTACATCAATATGAATCCATCAAAAACATCTTTTATTTGTTAAAAAAATAATAATAATGCAAAACAGCAAATATACAATCAGAATTAAAGCCAATACCCAGTAACGGGGTCAACAACTTGAACATTTGAGGCATGAAGTGGAGCCTCAACCGTAAATATACCACCTTCATGACCTGGTCCTTGCTTAATGTGCTTTTTTACCTTTAAAATAAAAAACAGAGATGAAAAATAACCCTTCCAAGCAACAGAGCAAGACCAATATTTTAAATTTTAAAGAGAGTCTAACCAGATTTTTCCCTTCAACAATAACCCGATTCTGAGATCGAATAACGCGTTTGATAATGCCAGTTTCACCTTTATCTTTGCCCCTAATTATCATCACCTGCGAATGGATTAAAGAAAAACAAATATATAATTGGCTCCTAATAACTCATTAAAAAACTGAAATGGAATTTTATAACCCAATGCTTACATTGTCACCCCTGAGAATTTTCCAGTGCCTAATGAGCTTCTCAGCTGCCTTCCAACCCATTTCAATCTGTAACGAAAGCTTCAGAGATTCAAAGCAAAAACAGGAAGCCAAGGAATAGAAAAAGAAAAAAAAATAAGGGGAGGAAGGAGGGCTAGAGAATACCTTAGAGAGCTAAAGCACGGAGCTTTTGCGGATAAATTGGAGGATCTGGGACTTGCTCCTTCTACCTTGTACGTCAGGTTTTAGGGTTTTGGGTTATACAGTTTTCCCGTAACGAAATATCGGGTTTGAAAGATGCCCCGATTTCCTGACGGGTTGGGATCGTTTTTCTCCAGTCTTTGACGGCCTGTTAGGTTTTAGCTTTGGGCTTACCATAAAAGAGCCCACTTGTTCTTTTTTACATGTAAATGAATACTCTAGCCTTATTTCACTGTTGTGAGTTACTCTATTTGGCTCTTTTATTTTCGTGAATAATGACAATTTACACCTGTCTTAAGAATTTGCATGTCAAGTACCCTAAAAAATGTATGCATGTTAATTGAGTTCGGATTTAGATTATATATATATATATATATATCTATTATTGGAATTTATTTCATGTGAATATAAAATTGAAATTGATTTCAGTATAAACCATTCAATAATAATAAAGTAATTTATCAATAATTAAATTTCATAATGTTAAGTATGGTTTTGACCTTAAAAGTTTATTGTAAATGTCATTCCGGTTGAGGTATTACAGATTTTAACATATTATCAAAGCACTGTGCATTTCATGTTAATTTGTTGAAACTAAAGCAACAAAAATAAATATAGTAATTAGGATGGCATGGCAGCAATGGCATAAAGGAGAAAAAGAAATATTATTCAAATAGTTTATTACTTTTTCTCTACAAGTTTCAAGATTCAACTCTTCATTTTATCCAAATGTTAAAAGGAGAAAGGAAATTACAAGATTACCAATAATTAAATACAAGATTTGACCAGGGAAATAATGGACGCAGGTCAAAGTTTATTTGGTGCTGTAATGAAAATCAAGAGCGTTGGGCGAAGATCTTTAATTTTCCCAGCGAAGGCCACGACTATATGTTAATATTGAGCTTTGCTGCAACCTCCTTAGCCCCACAATCAGCATCGCACTTCATCTCGCAGAAGGTGTTACCATGGCCATCGTTGCGGCAGTCCTGCTGGCAGTTTCTGAAGCATGAAGAGAAACGATCCTCATCTGCCTCGACCATTCGGACGCCCATTGTTGCTGCCACAACAATGCACACCAGAAACACTGCAACAAACTTATTGGCCATTGTCTTTGTTTTCTTCTTGTCACTGCTGTTTTGCTTTCTGGAATGTTTTTGATGGGTCGAGGTATTTGTAGAGACAGGGAAGCTTAATTTAGGTAGTCAGGCGGAAGACGAGGAACTCGAGTGACTAATATTAGATGATGTAGCTAAAATTATGGTTTACTAATTGCTGAGTAATGCACCAAATTTGTCGAAGAGAGGAACGACTTTTTCGTGCTTGTAGTTGCAACAATGTAACAAACTTCACTTTTCTTTTTGGTAAAACATCAACTTAGATTATTACCTAAACATAAGAATTCAAGTTTCCTCCCCGCATCATTCTTATGCAGAAGCAAATATTTTTGGTTCTACAATAATGGGTTCAAAAAGAAATTAGTGACAAAATCAATAACATCTATTAAAATTGTCTCTAAATAGGTGTGGCAGTGAAAGTACCTATCCAGGGCAGTGCATTGGCTTCCAGAAATTCCCTCTTTGCCTTTCTTCCGTTATCTTTTTCCACTAGACTTTCTCCTTCTCTCGATTTCTACTGTTCCTTTATCATTTTCCCTATTTCCCCTGTTTAATTGCTTTTTACTCTTTTCGATTTGCTTCCCCTCCTCCTCCTTCATTGGGTATTATTTTCTAGCATCATAGTGTTCTGGCGTGCGCCCATGGACTGTACACTCCCTCCCGCAACTTGCTGAGGGATTCTTAACTAGTATGAAACCGGCTATGGAAATGAACATTTAACTTTGGAGGTAAAATTCGGTGATTTTTAGTATATGATGTGCATAGGTGAATTGTTGGAAGGATATGAAATCATTATTGAAGTTAATGTTACCATATTCAGCAATCAAACAGAAGGCTGCATTGTTAAAATACATACTGGAATATATGAGGTTACTGACTTCAAGGAAAAAAGAGCTTATAGTCTATTATAAAACAGAGTCGCAACTTATCTAACATGAAGGAGCCTGTTCAGAACATATTCCCTGAATCGCCAATTACCTTCTTATGAGAACTACAGCATTCATCATATGCATGCATGTGTTATTTGTTGTATCAAACTTGTCATATGACTGGAGTTTTCTGTTTTGCAGAACCCATACTCTATCAACATCCTTTTGGCTGGCTATGATAAGGAGATTGGACCATCTTTCTACTACATCGATTACATTGCCACTCTTCACAAGATTGATAAAGGAGCATTTGGTTATGGATCATAATTTTGTCTCTCAATGATGGATAGACACTTCCATAGTGAGATGACAGCGGAAGAAGCCATTGATTGATTTGGTAGATAAATGCATCACGGAGATTCACTCAAGGCTGGTTGTCGCTCCTCCTAATTTTGTTATCAAGATAGTTGACAAGGTTGGTGCTAGAGATTATGCCTAGCGTGAATCCATCAAGGATACCGGATTTTCCACTGCCCAAGAACCTTTTGAGTCTAGTTAGATTATCCTTTTTCGATTTCACTGTTTCTAAGAAAGTTAACACTTGAATAGTACCTTGATTAAGAATTGGTGACTTATTTACTAAATTAAAGAGTACCTTGCTGTTCTAAACGTGCAATGTATTATACTCATTGGCATTTTAATTAGGAGCTTTTTATTGTGTCATCGTGTGTACTTGTGTTGCACATGCTTGCAGGATAGAGGTACATTGGAAGGTTTGAAATCATTTTGTGCCGTATTATGTCCCAATTGATTTTTTACCTTCTCTAACAGGATTGTTGAATGTGTGTGTGCCCACTTTTGTGTTCCCTAATGTCTACTGATGCTATGTCCCCTATCAGGTTCCTTGCACATTGAGTTGCCATTGGTGTTATCCATTAATGATCTTGTCATCAAGATATTGATGCTTCAAGGTTAATGAAGCTATTTATACACCCTCCAAGTTGAGTTGCCATGGCCAAGAGTTTTGGCCTTGGCAATATTGTTTTGATATTTTTATATGGTTGAGTATACCATGCAGATTTTTAAGTTCCTAATATCCTTAAGGCTAAATACACTAATGAAAATTTGATTGTGTATGTAACTGTTTAGAACTTATAATTTTCATTGAGAATATAGGATTTTCAATCTATGCTCCCAAATTCCTGGCTTTAAACTCAGGAGCTAGCATAGTTGTCAATTTGAAGCACTTCATTAGGCAGCTATAAATTGGTCCTAACTTCTAGAGCTGTTTGATGTGTTTTGTATAAGTAGGATTGTGCATGTATCAGTCATGGGAGGTGTATAGTTGTCCCATTTTTATATAGCGGGTTTTTGTGGGTAGCTATGAGTAAGATTTGGGGAATATACCTGCTTTTTGTGCCCAGGTATAGCCCACAAATTACTGGTTCTTTACTAATGTTTTTTTGAAGAGGATTTTTCCATCCTCCTTTGCAATGAAACTCCAATCTTTCAAAAAAAAAAAAACTTCTAGAGCTGTTTATAAACTTGCTTGGGACGATTCAATGTTTGCCGCATACATGTTCTTTATCAACATGGATCAAATATAATTGAGTTTTGCTATCTGATATATAAGATACAAATAAATGCGGGGGCCAAGAGCCACCATTAAACTCAGATCACTCACAACGAAATAAGCTCACATATCCAGAACTTAAGAACAAATATAGAATACAGTTAGGACTCAATAGAGCTTGAAAATTGTGATTCCAATCAATAATATGAGTAGTGATGGAGGGGAAATGTAAGATGGATTAGATGCCGATGGCTCTAATACTGGCCTAATCCCAGGATTTACTGTGGCTGAGGGGGCTTCTGGTTCATCCTCTTCTCCTGGTGCTGTTGCAGGTATTAAGTCCTGGAGCGTATCAGATTGCGGTGCTGGACCTTCTGCTGAAGCTTTGGAAGCTGTCCATAAAAATAATTTTCCTTTTAGGGAAAGAAGTCTAGGTTTGCAGGGTATTGCTCAAACTACGAGGTTTGTTTTTGTTATTCAAAATACCGATACAGATTACCTCTAGGACTTAAAGCAGACGCGGCTGTTGGTGGAGGGGTCGGAGGAAGTAGAAAAGGAACAGGGCCTGCCACAAAAAAGTTAATTTACATTTTTCTTTGGATTAGTTAATGCAAATTCTTTGGTAACCGAAGAATGTATAGTTAATTGGTATGAGAAAGCATCCTAGTTCTACACTTTCCACAGCACTAATAAAATTCCAGTGACATGATTTACTCAGTTGTCAGCAGAGATGTTATTTATGAGCCCCTTATGTCTTGGGGCACTGCCCCAGTTCGTGTGGGATCCAAACCAATGCAAAAAAGAATTGATCTGAATCAAAAGAAAGCAGACGGAAATAGCAGCTCTTAGATCCTAGTTTCCCCCCAAAGTTAAAACTCATGAAAAATCCAAAAAAAGTTTCAGTTGCATATGTTACCTGGAGCAGGTAGAGGAGTGCCAGAATCTGCAAAACACATGAAATGGACCGTTAAGAGAGTTGCAGGACTCAAGAGGGATGTGTACAAGGATTTTAGATGAGGCAGACTAATTAATAAAACCTTTGCACTGCACTGGAACGCCACCCATGTTACAAGCTCGGGGGAGACTGAGTGCCAGGGTTCTGTTTATGGGCAGTTGGAAAGGTACATTTGCTGTAATTATAAGACAAGCACAATCCATGCTACCGCTCATGAGCGACTTGAATGCACCGCAACAGCCCTGAGTTGGCGATGAGCCATTGCTAGTGCTTCCAGTGATAAAATTTAGGCATGGGGTGAAGCTGCTGATCATTGAGGCTGTGCAGGGTGTAGAAATTTGTCCATTAACTGATATGAATGACACAGCTGCTAATATTGCAATGACTTGGAAAACCTTGAAACCTTCCATGCCTTGTGAGTGAAATGGAAGAGTGTGGAGCAGTGAAACGAGTGTAAAGTTCTTGGTTGGGTCAAGTGCGTGATGGAAAGCGAATTGAAAAGATTTATAGTTTGGGAGTAATTCAAGCTACTTGGAGGGGAAAAGCAGGCAGTTTTGAAGTGGGTTCTGGAGTTCAACTACTTTTAACTAATTTCCGCCACTGAAGTAATGTTTTTTTTTTTTAATTATTTTCACATTTTATATACCATAATGAAACTACAAGCAGTTCAAGGTAGGTAGTTTGGCATGTTAGTTGTAACTCTGGATTTGCCATTACTATTTTTTTTTTCCCTGTTTAATTATGGTAGTGACTCGGTTGATTGTAGTTGCCTTCTCTTTTTGGTTGAAATGGGGTGCAACCCTGCATCTTCCTCATAACATAGAAAAGAACGCAGGGTAGGTTTTCAATCAACACCAATGGTCTATTGCCCAATGTGTCAAGTAGCCTTATTTTCTTAAGCAGTGTATGGTCCAGGGATGTCAAATGCCTTTTTCTTTTTTTCTTTTTTTTTTTTGTTTTTCATTTTGGGAGAAGTGAGATTTCAATTCGCTTTTTAAGCAAGAATGTGCATGTGAAATGCTTTTAATTAAAAAAAAAGGGAATAATAGCTTGTTTGATATTAATAGTCTAATTAAGAACAAAAATGATTAGTGCACAATTAAACCATAACTACATGACACAATTCTTGCTAACATTATTCATTTCAGAATTTGGACTATAGTCTTATATTTACAAATTAAGACGGATCTAAAATTTTATTTGAGAGATGATTAAAGAGTAATCATATAAAGTTATAGATTGGATCAATTATTTGATTTTAAATAAAAATTTAATCACTTTTAAAATAAAATAAAATTTGATTAGATGTGATAAAATTATATATTTTTAATTATTTATAAAAAATAATAAAATAATTTAAAATTAAGGAGTGGCGTTCGCGACCATTCCTCCGCAAAGTTTTCAGTCTTTGACGTATGGCATCTAGAGGCTTTCTGAGAATGTTGAGTAGTGAAGTTTGGCGTGTCCACTATAAAATAGACCTGTGATTGTTTCACCTCATTAACCTTTTGTCCTTTGCGCGTTGGTGAGAACTTCTTAAACACAACCTTTTGTCTATAATTTCATATCATGCTGTCTTGAAAGAAAACCGAAGCCCTTAAGCAAAACATAATTAAACTGAAATATACTTCGGAAATCGAGAATCTGTTTAGTTATCGAACAGCCCTCAGGTTTAGTAGGAGTTGGCCATCCAAATATACCAATCTATTTGTCACTTTCCTCAAAGACTTTACTATATAATTCCAGCCGTTTCATTCTTTTTCTCACTCAAACCCCAAGTCTCCGGATCCTATCAAACAATTTGACTTCCAACTTCCCTGGTTCTTGCACGCAAGATCCATCTCTCTCCACTTTCTGAACATTCTAGGCAGACGGAAGTTCTGAGAAAAAGGAAATGGCTTCGAGAGGACTTGAGATGGGCCTAATCCTAGTCCTGATGGGGATGCTGTGGGCTGAAGCCAACGCCCAAAGCTGCACCGCGGCACTCACCAGCTTATCTCCATGCCTAAACTACATTACTGGAAATTCATCCACCCCATCATCTACATGCTGCTCACAGCTGAAGAGCGTCGTTCAATCATCACCACAATGTCTTTGCTCTGCGCTTAACAGTGGCGCTTCAATGGGAATTGCTATAAACCAGACTCTTGCTCTGCAACTCCCTGGTGCTTGTCAGGTGCAAACTCCATCAATTAACCAGTGCAATGGTGAGCTCAATTAACTTTTGATTTATACTAATGTTTATCATACTTTTCTATCACAAGGAGACATTTTTCTTTTCTTTGACATGAATTAAATATTGCCTGGTGGAACAGCTGGAACACCTTCAACTCCAGCAACTCCAGCAGCTCCACCAGCAGCGTCTTCAACTGGTTCACCATCAGATTCTTCTGATGATACACCCGACGGTGCCATTACTCCATCAGCGTCAGACGTTCCTTCTGGTACGCATTAAAATTGTTCTTGTCATCAAGCTGATCGAAAAAAGAAAATTATATTTCTTGATTCTAATGGCAAGTTTTCAGGCATTATTATATGATTAAGGGACAGATTTTCATGTTGGTGCTTGGATAAATATGCAGGAACAGGATCTAAATCTGTCCCATCAATTGACGGGGGATCATCCGATGCAAGCATAGCAAAAGCTTCCCTTCGTTTGATTCTCTTCCTTCTCTCCATTGCAACCGTCACCAAATTCTGAGTTAGTCGGGGTCCTCTATAGGGAATTGTTGCCTGTTATATATAGCTTTGATGATGATTCTTTATCCCTTAGTTTCGTGATATGATTTTTGTTTCCAATGATAAGAGTGTTGTTGTACTGGTTTGTTTGAGTTGTTTAACAAGAAATTATCCAGGGACTTTCTTAGTTCCCTTTATTATTCGTTTGGTCAAATTCTGAAATTAGTCTCCATATTATATTAAAACTGTAACTTAATCCTCTTATTATTATTTGCACAAATTGAGTTTCTCCGCTTTTAACAATTAATTGTTCATCTTAATTCAATCATCAACACTGTACACTGTTAAAATTGTCTTTGTTAAATTTTGTTTACGTAACGTTGAACATGTTGACTAAAACTAAAAGTAATTTTTTTACAAAATAAAAAACAATATATTTTTATTTAAAAAATTAGAAAAATTTAAAAATAAAAAAATTACTATTTATTAAATACTACAATTATATTTTTATTTTTTCTAAACCAAAAAATAAGACATAATTTTTAATTTTTTAAAAATTATAAAAATTTAAAATGCAAAACTTGTTATGAATATCTATTTATGTTATCTAGTTTTGGATGTAAATTAGATTGAATCAACCTTAGGATTTAATCCATTCATTTAATCTCTTAATATTACCTTCGTCTTATAAATTCAATCTAGATAAGGAGTTATTAACTTATAAGTAGACCCTTTCACTTCATTTGTAAATACACACTTGAGTAAAATCTTCTTACTCTCTCTAAATACTTTCTTATATTTCTTTTATATTTATTCTCTTAAGATTTATTTCATAACAAGTTATTAGTACGATTCTTTGATTTCTCTAGTATAAGATTTATTATGTTTTCATCATCTTCGATGGGGTTTTGATTTTTGATTTTAAAAAATTAAGTAAGTGACTTAATATCTATTTAATATTTCCATTCCCTAAAATCAACCTTAATATGAATTTGCTATTATATAGCTACTAATAAAAAAATTATAAATATTCATTCCTTGAAGTGAATGTGATAAACGAGTTACTAATAAAAAATTATAGATCACTCCATTGCCTGAAGTGAATGTGACATCATTTAATAATTATGGTCATAATCATAGATCCATCAATTCCTTGAAGTGAATGCAACATCATTTAATAATTATGATGGCCATAATAATTTACACTATCCAGTATTTTATTGAGGATAATTTTGCCACTAGAAGTTGATGAATAATTTTACCGTTAGAATCTAAGAATAATTTTATCATCAAAAGTAAATGAATAATTTTACCATTAGAAGTTGATGGATATCTTAACTCATTAACCCACGAGAAGTTGAACACCCACAAAAAATAAATAGATACTTGTAACTTACCAAAAGTAATAATAATTTCAACCACCAGAAGTAAATGAAAATGAAAAGATAAAACAGAAAGAATAAAACGAATATAGAAATCATATTATCATTAATGTAGCATGAAAAACTATTGATCACGTACCTGTTGTACGTTTTGAATTTTGTTAAGCATCACTGAAAAGTAAAATACCTTTTGATGATTTTAATCATGATCAAGTGTAGACGTTATACTTTTTTATTATTATTGATATTATTTACTTGTTTATGTATTAATTAAGCATTAAAGTATTCTAGATAGACCTGTCAATATGGGCCGGCCCGACCAGCCCGGCCCTAGCTTGTGGGCTGAAAAAATATCGGCCGGGCCGAGCCAGCCCATATTTTATGTGGGCTACAAAATGTTCAGCCCAGCCTAGCCCTTGCTAGCCCATGGGCCGGCCGGGCTAGCCCTGCCCCCCTCCTCCGGCTCCCACGAGTCCCGGTTCCCCTCGCGCCCTACCCGCCCCCCTCCGGCTCCCACGAGTCCCGGTTCCCCCTGCGGCCCTGCCCGCCCCCTCCGGCTCCCACGAGTCCCGGTTCCCCTGTGGCCCTGCCCCCCTCCTCCGGCTCCCAGAGTCCCGGTTCCCCCCTGCGGCCCTACTCGCCCCCCTCCGGCTCCCACGGGTCCCGGTTCCCCCTGCGGCCCTGCCCGCCCCCTCCGGCTCCACGAGTTCCGATTCCCCCTGCGGCCCGCCGGGCTGGCCCGTACCAACCTGGATCACCCAAGCTTGGGAAACGAGTATAAACCTCACTGTAGCACTAGCAAAACCCGAGGAAGAAAATTTTGAAAAACCTAGCATCTAGTTGCTAGTAACCACAAGAAAAGAGAAAAAAAAAAAGAGAGAAAAAGAGAAAAACGAAAGTGCAACCATTTATAGGAGCCAGATTTGGGATTTTAGGGTTGGGAAAGGTTATGAGTGGTGCGTTGTGTGAACCGTCGGCTATAAGAGTTAGAGTCGAGTTTTGAAGGAGCAGATTAGAGGAGAGAAAGGTGGTGCTGTCGGTTGTTGGGTGAATGAGTAAAGGGAAACTTTTGGGTGAAAGAGAAGGGAAAAAGAAGGCTTTTTAGGGAGAGTGTCGCTGGCAGTAAGGATGAAAGTAGTGCGCTATGGGTGCTGCCGATTATGAGTAATCGTGGTGTGAGAGAGTTGTTAAAAGAGCAAAAAGAATGGAAGCTTTTTAGAGAGAGGAAAGAATAAGCAGCAGAAAAGAAAAAGAAGAGGGAGGAAAGTGAGAGCAAAAGATAAAAAAGTTGGGTTAGAAACCCAATATGGTGCCGTTTTAGAAGAAGTAAAATCACTCTTTTGGTTTCCAAACGGTGCATTTGGCAGAGTGGATCCGACGGGCTACAATAGATTTTCTGCACA